CCAAAAACATTAATCCCTCCTTGATGGCAGTAAATCCAGCTTCCAGGGACTCTGATGGTGACTTGGTCTTTTTTGATTTCCCACTCGTCTTTTTCATTTGCTCTGGCTGCTGAGCCTCCTCGCCAACATACCTTTCGTCATCGCCGAGAGGGGCATTGTCGAGATTGTTGTCTACAGGAGAAATAGACGCAGATTAAACTACCCAAAATGCAAATAAATCTGTCTTATTAATATTACAATTTTTGTCCGTTGAAATTTCTTCATCACTGGCATCGTCAGTGCTCATAAGCGACTCCCTTCGGAAGCCAGCCTTTTCCCCCCAATAATCAAGCATTACGTCGTAATGCAGCGGCAGAAAGGCCTGGGGAGAGTTCCCAGTCGGAGCAGGCAACGTTGGCTTGGAGAGAGACCATTCTGTCTTCATCTTGGCCAGCTAAAACAATCACATGACAAACCTAATAAATGGTCATGTCGAACGCACCTTGTCTTGCACTTGCTTGGCTGTAAATTCCCGCTGCATGACGACGCTAAGTTCGGTCGCCAGCATGACGTACGCTACTCGATTGCCGTAGTTTTTCTTGGAGTCAAATCGGCTAGCCAAAGCAGACTTGTACCGCAGCTTGAACATTGCTTCAACACTTTGGTCGCACCACAGTGTCGGACGTGGGGGCTGCTTCCGGGAGAGCTTTCCCTTGGGCAATGGTTTTGGTTCGCTTGCTACCACACAGTCGTAGGGTACAGGGTCAAGCACACTACGACATGTACCCGCGATGGCAGGGGGGGGGTCAACAGGCGTAGCCTCCTCCATTCACTTCACCGTTGTTGGCGTGCTTGTGTGCACCACTCGAAACACGAACGGCGTTCCCAGGCGTGGATGGCGAATCTCTGCCTCGTAGGTCACTTCCACGCAGGGACAATATCCGGTTTTCGGATATAAGCACCAATGAAATTGTTTTCTTCAATAAAAGGCAGACAGAGACATGAAGCATTGAATTCGCAGACCAGGCCCTTAAGAAATGCGGATAATTGTTTCAAAGATATGTACATCCCTCTATTTCCAGATATCGTAATGAAACGTTGATTGCAGAAACTGCTTCCTTGCTCAGATCTCTTTTAACCTATGAACCTCGAAGGTGCAGCGAGCGGTGATGGCGGCAGTCGCGGAAGCGGATCTGAGCCAACCTGACCAACGTACCTCATCAAAGCGTATGGAGCAGCAGCAATGTGGAGTCCAGTAGTAGTTCCAATGAAAGCGATGGATTGGTATTCGGATACTCCTCACGCGATTCAACGCTACCGACACACGGACTACGTTCAACATTGGATGGGGTTAACTGTAAACCCACATGGGTGACTTTGAAGAATTGTGACAACTTTGCCGACGCTAAGCTGTACATGGATGAGATGACCACGTTCCGGTTGGTCACCCACAACATGATGTAAAATTGTAACTTTATCGTAGATACAAGTACAAGCGAAACTACAAGTCGGGCGCAGCGAAAAAAGTATACTTGTACGGATGCATCAGCCACGAAGTGTGTCCGCATGCTGTTCGAATTGTCGTACAACAGCATGGTGCAGAAGTTCAAGACTCTGCTGCCCCCCATGGCACACTCTTGTCTGTTCGCAATGCAAGCGGTATACATCCTAGGCTACGGACAGAGATTGATCGTTATCTCAAGTGTGGATACACGCCCAAAAAACTTGAAGTAAGAATATAGTTATAATAATGCCACTGAAACATTTCCACTTCCAACGAACGCGTAGGTCGAGTTAAAAGTAACGTATCAAGGTGACCCTGACATGCTGAAAATTCTGCCCTCGCGTGCCCAACAATGAAGGAGCGGCGCAAAGTCATTGGTCGACAGAAAAGAGGAGGCTGGGAGATGAACAATCTTGCCGAGCTTGTTGAGTGGGGTCAAGCGCATCGGTGCGACACCGCCGAGGCATTTTTTGACCGTGGTGAAGGATTCACGTACGACGAGTTCATGGAGCAGGATGAAGAGTATCGGTGTGTACTATTTTACATAAATATACTATGTGTTGTATCGTTCACATACAGTATGTAGCCGCAGACTGATTGTACTGGACGTCTTTGAAGGGGCGTATGACGATCAAGGCGACGACAAACCCTGCGTTGGACTAGTGTTGTCATCGCGGCAGAATATGTTGAATATTTCATGGGCCCACGAATGTCAAGGGTCGTCGTTGGCTATATCAACTGACGGAACATACAAACTGCATTTTGGTAATACAAAGCACGCTGGTAATTGCTAGCCACATTGAAGATTCTAGTATTCGTATCCTTTAGGTGGCTGGACTTTGATTGACTTGGGCGCTGTGTACACTAAGTACTCCAGAGGCTGCGTACGCCACAAATTTCTGCCATGGACGTACCTGTTCGTCCGAGCGGAGTGCAAAGAGGCGTACTATAAACTCTTCGATGTTACATCAAGTATGTACACCACCTTTTTCTACACAGGTGGGGCCGGCGAAGAATGAGTGAATTTGGACTAGTATAGGCCAAGATAGAGGTGGTCATGGCTGTTCAAATAATTGACGCCTGCCATGTATCACGCCCATGGGGAGGCGAGCCCATGTCAACGTGAATAAGGCTGGTCCCACCTCTGCCTACGTCACTCAGCGGTGGGGCCAGGCGAAGAATGAGTGAATTTGGACCAGTATTGGCCGAGATAGAGGTGGTCATGGCGGTTCGGATAATTGACGCCTGTCATGTAGTGCGTCCGAGAGATGACGAGGCCACGAACGCATGTACGGTACTGGTCCCACCTCTGAGTACATCACTCAGCGGTGGGGCCAGGCAAGAATGAGTAAACTTGGACCAGTATTGGCCGAGATAGAGTGATTAGATGGCGGCGATGATCGCCGATAGACGCAAGATTGTATAACGTAAATGACCAATTTATGATCACTTTTTCGGAGTAGTCACCGTAAAATTCGCATATCTCGGCTCACAGGAAGGCCTTTCATATTTTGTGAAGTGATTCTTAACAACCGAACACAGAGCTTTCATTTCATCATCGAAGTATTACATTTCAATATGCCCTTCTAATACAAAAATCCAACTTTCCAAGCAAGTTTACTCGATTTTTGAGGACCAATTTATGATCACATTTTTATCCTTGAACTGTGTATGCCTCCATGCATACAAATTGTGCGGAAAGGGTATTCATTCTGGCCAGGTAAAGTATAAATTTACAAGGTTATGTATTTCAAGAATATTTGATGGGACAGTTCCAACACATGGTCCGGATAACCTGTTCCAATCGTTTCATTTTAGGACGGGTAAGCTGAGGTTAACGTTAAGTACAGAACTGTTGTCTCGGTTGCTGAGTGCCTGTGGTGCGCAAAGCCATGGCGTCAGCGCGTGAAAGTATTGGGTAAAGATAATGCTTGGGTACAGGTAGATGGGGAATGCGATAGGTCTATGTCGGCTTCGACACCTGTGATTTCCCTGACAAACATGCATACCGGTACTACAGTATCCATGACGACCAATTAACAATTATAGGTTATCTGCGAGGTAAACATCCTACTACGTAGTACTTCAGTATGCGTACCGGTACTTGAATCGTGATGTTTGTAGGGAGGCGCCATGAGTTTGTACAATGGATACCAATTGATAAAGCTCGGGCGGGAATTCTTGTACTTTCGGGGTACCTTCCCAACCAAGAGGTATCATCTTGCATTGTTGTCGTCGCGATCCCTGAGCAATTCCTGGTATTTCAAGTCGAATGTCCGGATAATTCGACACGGTTTGCGTGTGTAACGTATCGAGTTCACGCTGTATAATCTATTGGAGGCTTTCTAGTTAAAAAATCTTGCGATGCGATTGGCTCACAGGGAGTGATCATAAATTGGTACTACAGTGATCATAAATTGGTCATTTACGTTAGCTGTCAAAATTGTTAAGTAAAATAGCTTATGCATGTCAAAATATTTACACGCTTAAGTCCCCCAATTCCATAAAGTTGTTATTGAGAAAACACGTGTGATTCCCCCACTTTTCAATAACACGAGTAAAACCCCCAAAAAGCACGTGTGAAAACACTTTTTCCATGTCGCCAAACTTTCACCTAAGTCACGACCACAGTCCAAGCGCCGTCAACTCTCAGCACGATGACGTTCGCGCAACCCACTTGTACCTCGATTGCAACTGCTGCGGCAGTTTGATCCAGGTTATTTAACCACATACATACCAATTCAATCGAGATCACGTCATCACGGGTATATGTACATCGTCGCATACCCATGTGATCTCCCCGCAAATCGCACTTTCGTCCTACTTATTTAAATACTCTGAAGAGATAATAATACTATGGTGGATGTGCACGGGATATGGGGACCCAGTATCCCTTGCATACCTATGTATGTGTACTGTATATGCGTTCGTAGGTTCCGTAGCGCAAGCTACAAGTACTGGTGTCGAAGGACGTTTCAAACGCAGAAAGAGAGATGCAATGGTTCATGCATGCACGAATACAACCGCCGGTAGTCTTGCTCGTGATGTTCACAGTCAATTGAGCAGTACAGTCCTCATCTGGCGACAAATACTCGTCGACATCGTCCATCCAGTCGTCCCTTTCGTCTCCAGCCAGCCGCAGTATCTTGGTCATGGCATCGACAAACGCTTGTGCATCATGGGGGGACGCGGACGGACCTGGAGTGCTCGTGGAGTTCCAATCCTCCGAGTTCCACATCACTTGCTCGATGGTTCAGTCGTACAAAAGGATATCAGGTGTCCAATCCAAATCCAGTATTCTATTTTGTGATCGTTTCATTGGCTAGATAATTGTTCTTTAAAGTACGCTTGAGTTACGTACTTAATTGGCACGACTTGTCCTAATTACACAAGTACGAAATAAATAACTTTATTCAGGTTATATTCATAAAAGCAGGACTTTGAAATCAGGACTTTGTGTTTGAAGACATTGCAAGAACCACCATAACTCACAGCAAGTCGCGGCGGCGGTGTGATTATGTCCAACATCTACGTGACAGAGCCCAACACGGAGGGAAAGGTGCTGATGCGAACATCATTTGGCGAGCTGGACGTCGAGTTCTGGCCGCAACAAGCGCCCCGCGCATGCCGCAACTTCTTTCAACTGGCCATGGAAAAGGTATGGGTGTAGGGTTTTCACGCGTGCTTTTTGGGGTATTTACTCGTGTCGCGTATTTTGAACAATTTTTAGGGGGTTCACGCGTGCTTGGGGTTTTCACGCTTGCTGGGTTACAGGTAACGACGGAAATCTTCACCCAGTGGTACTCGAATTTTCATTTGAGA